AGATGAGCGCGAATCTGCTGTGACAGAGCTCGCTGTGACGCTGTAACTTCCGACCCCTCGCCCGATCACGTGGTCGCCGCCGACCCGCCCATCTCAAGCACAAAGGAACGCCCGTGCGTCCTGCGGAGTAAGGTTTTGGATCGGACGCCCTGATCCAGTATGTCCTCTATCACTGTCCTGGTATTGTTTTATCTTCAAATTGTTTGTGGCCAGCTGCCCCGTTCCCCTAGAGGGGCTGGGTGGGGGAGGAACTAGGATGTTTTTGGTGTTTGACGGGGTTATCAGTAGTCAAGTACTAAAGGTGTTTACAGTTTCTGTTTAGCGAGTAGGGAGTTGGTTTAGAAGGATGTTGCAAAAATTATGGTCGATCTAAAATTTGGTTTGAGGGAGAGCGGAGGGGGAGTGAGAGAATTTACATTCTTGGTAGAGGTTGTATCGTTGAGGATTTCTAATGAGGTCATTTTGTTAGTTCGTTGGTAGAGATTTATTGTAGGTGGAGTGTGGTAGGGTGGGATTGTTGTGAAATATAAACGGGGGGTGCTTTGCTATTCTATGGAAATTGAATACGTCGGAGGGTGAGTTGAGAATTTGGTTGGTGAGGTTAATGAGTGTTGGGTGAGATGGGATTATTTAACAACTGCTGCACCGTGTCTCGGATGTGGTTAAAATATACTTGGGGGAGGGGAGGGATGTGTACTCTGTGGTCGAAGGTGTTGTAATATTTCGAGCCTTCGGAAGAAGGGTGAAAGAACTTAACCGGAGATATGCAGCGGTTTGGTCAAGAGAGGATTTATAAATTTTTGTAAGTGGATGTGTGGAAATTGTGATGGCCATGCTGTGGGAGAGAGGCGTATGATGATATGGATACTGATGTGCGGTGTATCACATATGAAGGAGTTTATTGTTGGACAGATAGAGCATTGGATGGGAGGAAGATTCTGTGTTGGAATCAGAGTTGATTATTTTGATGTTTGACCTTGGATGATTGTGTGGTGTGAGCGATGGGAGGTCCAGGTATGAGTTTGGATTGAAGGATGCGAGATATATTAATTGCGAGGACCATGGATAGAGGAGTTGTTAAATTGGTGCGTATGGGTGGGACGGGGTGTGTGGGATGTCTTCGACCAAGTGAAGATAATTGCTTGGACAGTTTAAGAAGAGATTATTATTGATAGGTTTTCCTGAGACCATTGCGAAGATAGAGTGGGACGGCTATGTATGACAGTTATGATTGATGGGAGGGTTGTTGAGAGAGGTATCGTAGATGAAGGGAGAGAAGGTGCTAGGTTTAATTCTGCTGTAAAGTATATATTTGTCTGAATAACCTTTGCTATGCAAAGGGATAGGTCCGGAGCTCCATACAGATTGAGAAGTAGATAGGGAGACTCTCTAGGGGCACGTTGCTGCGATCTCCGGCCGAGATTGGGGTGGTGTTGGGGGTATTAATATGGCAAAGAGTGTATTTGGTTTTAAAGGTTCTGTGTTTTAGAGTTTTAATTTGGAGGTAAGGTAGATTTTTTGCAAAGGTGGGAAGTTGTAAGGTTTTTATGCAGTTGTTGAATTACGGAGATAATTTAACGCGGTCATTGCGTAAAGGGCGCGAGCTTCCTCCGGAGGTGTCCACTCAACAGTTGTAAGTGGAATAAGCATTTTGTAATCTTAAAGACGTGTAATGATAGGGTCTGTGGATGTGTTGAAACGAAGTGGTGATTAGAGACTTACGAAACGAACTAGAAACGCCTCAAGAAAGATCGTCATAATGCAAGCCCATTGTAACTTTTTATGGAAGCCAAACTCCAAGCAAAACTTAATTGTAAATCCAAGAAACAATAAACATAGTAAAATTTTCGGAAATAAAAAGTGGGCTCTCACCAGAAACCACATTGAAGGAATTCCTGTGTCTTTACTCGGCGGCACATGTAGACCATATCTGACAATTAGAAATCCCAGAGAGCCCAACCTCCGAAGATAGTCTCGGCCCTCGGGAGCTAATCCCGTTCAGGCCTTCGGCAGCCGTCGAAGATCGGGTGGAAGGTAAGAGGTTCTTGCGACTCACCTGCCGAGCACGCCTGGCGCCCGCCCTGGCAAGCGGCCACGAGGGGGATCGCTACAGTATTATGGAACATGAAATAAATAAATAAATTAAAATTGGTATGACTCCTTACTTACTCTGACTATACAACCGTGCATTTCTGAAGTTGGGTGTTATGGTGTGTGAACAGCAAGTCACTCCTACATTTTAACCACCTTTCATCACACCTATATTAGTAAGCTTATTATAAACAAATAGTGAGCTTATATTTTGTATTTTTAATTTAAAGATTAATGCAATACTACGAGATACAAAAGTAATTAGATAGTGCAGTGCCTACAATTAATTGGAGAAATGTAGGTATTTACATTGTAAAGTACAACTCACAACGAAGGAATGGAGAAATCTATTTTGCATTCTAATGTGTTTCATAATTTGCACAATCAAATCCAGCACCCACCTTCCCATTCTTTAAAGTTTAGGCTATTTGCTAACAACAGGTCGGGCCATTGGGCGCTGGTTTCGAATGTCTTCCATTTCGTCACAATGTGTCGTGTATTATCTGTGTAGAATTTGGTTGTAGGGACTTGCTCTTGATCCAAATTGTAGGATCGTATCTTTTGTGAGTATTTCTGTAACTTGTGCGAAGTTGTAATTTTGTAATCTGGCTTTTAGTTTTTATAGTAAAGCGAATTCGCGAGAATTCGTGATTTTGCACATTATTCTATGAGGTAGGGGGTTAAGTCATTGCAACTATTATTTTTTCTGAAAATTCGAGCACTATGGAAAATGTAAAGTATATACACAAAAGGGGCAAGGTATGAACCAAGTGCGTGGGCATTTAAAGACACATGAAAATTGGGTTTCCCATATTTATTAAGGGACATGAAATGACTACTGGTTTCATGTCCCAAAGCATTGTAGTAATCACGAGTTAGCAAACACTCCAGAAACATTACATTCTTGTTCTACAGATGAAGTTCCGGCTACGTAGCTTGATTACAGCACGGTCAGGTTGCACAGTTTGGTTGGCTCGCGACCTCCCAGAAACTCCTGTGACCGCCCAGCCTGCGATCCACATCAACGAGAAGTGGAGATAATTCTAAGCAGAGACGGCCACAGAGCTTGCACGGGGAAACGTCGCGCGGAGGGGAGTCGCCGCCGGCCCTGGCGCGAGCAGAGCGAGGGAGAAATTGGAGGGGCGGCAGAGGCAATCTCGCCGCACGTCTCACTGCAGTATTTTCTACTGCTTGGTTCAAACTCCTGAATTGGTACGTGGGAGGGTAATACGTTTCGAAAACTTGTATTTGGAAGAACCTATAGTACGTAGCGTCACCGAAAAGCTCTAGTAAGAAGTAATCGCTTTTAGATTTACTATAAAATGACAGAAGATTAATCTTATGCAAGTTAAGAGAATAAATCGAATATGAGTAATTAGATGACCGTACTATACGCTGATAATTCTCAGCTTTATATCTTTCTTTGTTTGAATTTGAATATTGGAATTAAGCCCTGAGAATTCTAAATGTGTATTCAGGTTTCTGCAATTCATGTTATGCCTTCTTAAGTATTGGATCTGGAGGTCTGGTAAAAAGTGTTAAATTGGTAGAGCTCGCGCAGAATCTTGTATGTCTTGACCATGTCAGCTCTTTTTCTGCTCATCAACATGACACCTATCTTCATATGACAATTGAAGATATTTTTTCTGGGATTTTGTGAGACCAATTTGGAATTTTTCAGCATTTGTCTTTGTCTTTGGTGTATTTTTTTTAATTTTGCTCCAGTGTCGTGAATTTTAATCATTTGTAATGAATAAATAATTAAATACCTTTTTTCAGGTTCTTCAACAAGGGAGTCACGCAGGAGGATTCTTTCTGAAGCTGGACATCCAACGGTCAGAATCACTACCGTAAAACGAAAATTATTATCTGTGGCAGTGAAGCTAAGGCGTAAGATAAAAAGGTTGAAGGAAGCATAGGATCATTTGGCAGCACTCACTCAAAGAACTTAGATGCGATGCTTCAGGGTGTTGTGTCCCCTGACTTGCGTACCATTATCCGTGGAATTTTGCGTAATTTCCAACGGGAAGGTAATGCAAGGCGGTGAACACTACTGGAAAAAGTTATGGCTTTGTCTTTAAACGTAATCCAAAGGCATATCGTCTGCTCTGTTGTTACCTGACACTGCCGTCTGTGCGAACTTTGTTGCGTACCCTTTAACGTGTTCCTATGGATAGTGGCCTTGATAAAAATGTCCTTGAGATGATGCGTGGTGTAGCCAGCACCATGTCTGATCGAGACAAATATTGCACCTTGATGTTTGACGAGATGTCCCTCAAAAGATGTCTTATCTATAATGATAAGAAGGGCCTGATCGAATGTTTTGTTGATCATGGCTCGCAGGGGCGCTCGAAGAACCTTGCAGATCGTGCTCTGGTTTTAATGATTCAGGGCATGTAGCGTCGATATGAACAACCTATCGATTTTTTTTCAGCGGTCCCACTCCCACCGAAGTTATTGCTGTAATAATCAGAGATGCGATAGTGAAACTCCAGCAGATTGGTTTCATTGTCAAAGCCACTGTGTGTGACCAAGGGTCAACAAAGAAAGCTGCAATGAATATCCTCATTCGTGCGAGCCATACTGGGGAAAGGATTGAGAGCATAAATAATGGAAATGCATTGGCAAACCTCACTCATGCCAGCACTGCTGGGGAAGAGAGTGAAAGGCAAGAAGTCCCAAATACCAACGGCGAAACTCTTGGTCATGCACATCCACCTTCACTCTCCCGGAGGAGACGGGAGGAGGATAACCTTCAACCATTCTTCTTCTTCTCGGGAGGCAATTAGATGTTTGTGTTGTATGATGTACCCCACCCCATCTCTTCAAATGTTTGCGCAACATTTTTTGTAAAGGGTCGGAGATTGAATGGGATGGGAAAGTTGCTCGGTGGGAAAACGGTTCGTCTGTGGAAGCTTGACCAGCAACTTTTTAGAGTACAGACCTTAACCAAAAATCATGTGTATCCCTTGAACAGAGCGCAGATGAAGGTTAAGTATGCTGCCCAAGTTTTGAGCCGGAAGCGTGCGGGGCATATGCGAACTGTTGCAGTTCTAGATGCGGAGAAGCCTCCTGACGAACAACGTTTGCTGGATGGTGTGGACACGGCAGATGTCATTCTTGACTTCGATGCGCTATTTGATTATTCAAATGGCTCACGTAAGGGAGATGACTACATAAAAGGACACAAGGGAAGAAGTAGATTTGTTGTACGAAAAGGGTCGATGCATACTGCAGTTTGGGCAATCATGCGTAGAAAACTTAGGAATATGACATTTTGGACCTGGGAATTGCGCAATGAGAATGGGGTGAATGTTAGAAGGCGTGTGCAGTGCCGCCTTTATCAATTTCAGTCTTCATACGAGTCCACTCTTCTTGCCCTGGAATGTCTGTGGAATGACGTCAAGGGCACACTCAAACGTTTGTATTTAAGGCAGCTAAACCAGGATCTTTGGAGAATTTGTTTGCTGTTATCAGACAGAATGGTGTGACTAATGGTCATCCGACGTGTGGCCATTTCATTTCTGCCCTTAAAACAGCAATTCTCAATTATCTTGTCAGTACCAAAATCCGGAATTCTAATTGTAAGGATGACCAATTACGAATTATGTGTGATCTGAATGGATTTCTCAGTGGAACACATGGAAAAGACTGATGGCAGTCAGTTTCAGGATGAGGCTGATGCTATGGAAGGGGTATCCGACATGGCTCATCCCCATACTGTAGCTGCAGCTGGTGATGACACTGGCAAGACCGTCCATTGCGACCCACCATGCTGCTGGCCATATTGGCAAGTGTATGATGGGGGTTTTGAAGGGACAACAGTGTTCGATATGTGAGAGTGCGATTAAGACAGAGATGCTAACCCTGGAGCAGATGTATACTCAAAGTCTGGAATTCGATCCTGATGACCCGTCTTTGATTTACGCAAATAAGCAGTTGTGGAGTGTGGTCCACGTGGCCCAAAATCTTTTTGAGTCTCATTTTGTGGAAACTCAAAGTTTGCACTCAAAAAGCCTGAAGGGTGATGCCATTAGTTTCCTGACAACAAATTTGAATTACACCTGGCTTCATTTCCCAGATCATGCTTCAGGTATGACGGAAGTTTTAATTACATGTTTGACAAGATTGCTAATCTGAGCACACTGCCGGCGAATAAATTGTGTACTAATACATGAACCTCGCCGGTTTTAATGTTTTTATACATATTTATTTATATTTTTATTTATTTACTTTTATATATATTTATTATTTTATTTCCGTGCAATAATTTTTGATTTGAAATAATATATCATGATATGAATAGTGTTGCTCTGACTTCAAGATCTATACAAAAAACCATTATGGTCTGCACAGATCAGGAGATGATTTTTTTGAGAGGTTTTACTTGTAAAATATGCGTATATATTTCCATTAATTCTATGAGCTGTAACACCAACTTGTAAACAATTCTGAAAGTTTTCTTTCAGTGGGTGCAGTTGGCTATAGTTTTAATGAGTGTTTTACATTATTCCAATATTATGACTAAAAATAACATTTTAAGATTTTATACAAGGTATGTTGAGAATATGTGATCTTGTGAATTAAGTAATAGATGTAACAGATGTAAACAGACAAGCCATAAATACTGAATTTCAAAGAGCACAGATTTTTTAATTTCATTAAACGCTTTTTATGGAACTAAATTTATATTAAAGAATTATGCACGTAAATAATAGGGAAAAGGCTCGTTTCTCAGTGTTTATCATCTACAATTCCACCTAATTTGATTTGTAATCAATGACTGTCAGAAATATCGCTCACTTGACTCAACGGACAGAGATAAATATTTTCTTGAATTGATAACAAATCAATACATAATAAGAAATATTAAGTAATTCTAAGTGAATGATGTGATATGTGTAACATCCATTGAGCAACTTGCTGTGCCTATGGACTCTTAATATATTATCAGAATGCAAGTACAATTTACAAGTCGAAAAACTGTTTTGTGATTATTCAATTTGAAGTAGATCCTATTAAATCCCTTCCATATCGTTTCCTAGACATATGTAGGAAATGATATGAAGTCGATTTAAGAGAACCTACTTCAAATACGTCTCTTCTTTTAACACATTGTATGATGGATATTTTCCTGTACATTTTCACTGTAATTGGATACTTTTAAACTGCAGGACTCCAATATTTCACTAATCGAAAGAATAGAAGAAATCTGCCTTGGCAATGTAAAATAAAGTTATAGTTTCATTGCATACACATAATATGTACCAAATTTATGGCGTTTGTTTTGTATAAAAAGTAAAAAATATCATTTCGCAGGATAACGGTTTTGTTTGGGTCAATCCCAACTATTTTTCCTAACTGTTTGTCTTGTGGACTTCACAAAAAGATCTTACTAATAGTTTGGGATTGTTACCAAGAAATGTACACTTTTCTAAACATTTTATATTGTTTTGTATTGTATTTTATATGGTTATATTTTGTATTGTTTAACTCCAGTAAAATTATTTGTAATATTAGTGTCACACATGATGAATGGCGAGGATTTATTCCTTTATTTCACATAACTGGATTTTTCTTCATGCATATTGGATTTTTTGTATATGATGTATATTTACACCTCTTTGCAAATAAATATTGCTAATATGACATACCTTCTTTTTGTTTTCACTTCCTTTATTAAAATTTACATCACTACCTCACAATTATAAATCCTTGTCAGAATTACTGACTTCCAAGCTACCTTACGCATTAATTTTATAAAAGCAAACTGAAAAAGAAAATTGATTATATTGTATAACTGTCCGCAATATTGAAAAGTTGCTAGATAAAGTAATTTCAAATCTCCCGTTTCACGTCTGCTGTCCGTTTCAATTGGTAGATCGCCTTTCGACGCTTATTGGCTGGTCAGGGGCAGAAAAGGATGCTTCTTTCTGATTCGTTGCTTCAGTCGGGGCTTCTCCCCTCCATAAAAATAAGGAGCTTTGGAATAACATTGAGTGCCGTCTCTGTAAAATACTCTCTGAAGGCTCGTTCCAATTTACAATGCTGGCAACAACCACCTCGTACTTTCAAACCAATCGTAGCATGCTTTGGTGAATTAAGTTCATGCCCACAGTTGGTACGTTCCTTTCAACAGCGACGTAGCCAAATCCATCCTCTCCCCGCCGATATTTACTCTCTGCTCTGCTCAGCTCTGCTCTCCTCTGCAATGTTGCCATATCAGCGGAATTCCCGCCGTTTTCAGCGGATTTTGAACTCGTACGGCGGAAAAAAATGAGTTTCGCGGACAGCGGAATAAACGGCGGGAATTAATAAAGTTAGTAAAGAATCAGTTTTCGTTAACCTCTATTAATAAGTTGTCTTGCACAGATGCTTACTTTGAAAATTTCTAACTCCATGTTACAAGCAAGAATAAATAATGTAATACTTATACAATAAATTATATACTACCTGAAATCAATTGTTATTATTTTGCAAATTTTTACCCAAGTAATGCATTCTATACTATCTAAAAATTGAATTACAGGTTCAATAAAGCCACTATATTTCGCAATCATATTTTTTTAATAGAATAAATTAATACAACATTTAAATATGGAGAATTATTATTTTTTTTTACGTTTAGCAGATTTAGGCGGGAAATTTAAATCCAATTCAGCGGATTTTCGGCGGAAACTGAAACAAACATGTCGGAATGTCTCTAAACACATCTGGCAACACTGCTGCCCTGCTCCCCGCAACCCGCGCTACCAGTGGTGTGACACTAGATAGGGCACATCCGGCCCTTATTCAAATTCCATACGGTAGCCAATCAGAGTTCAGAGAGACGCCATATACATCTGTACAACACCAACTCGCTCAAGCGGAGAATGTGTGAACTACTTATTCATTTTGAAATTTTTACGCAAACGAGCCGGTTGGTTACCGTTGGATTCCTTCCTCGTCGACCTAACGTTGTATATTCACGTGCTGTTCGTAGGGCTGTTAACGCCATATCGCAGTCAGTGAATTAGAGAGATGAAGTGATTTACCGCTGTTTGAAGTCTGAAGCGTGCATTTTGGCTTCGAGAAGATGATGGGTGCGTAACAAATAGTGGAATTTTTTTATGTTCTTGTTCAGTTGCGGATCCCTTGTTTGGATCAAGCGAGGTGACACCCACTGCAGGGTGTAATTGGTAAGACTTTTTAATAGAATATTACTGGAATATAGTTTTAATAGAATATATAATTTGATGGGAGGCTATGATAGCAGCAGTTTTTAATTTTCAGATCCTCTTACACAGGCAGCTTTTCAAACTGAAAATGGTAAGTCTCTTGTATGTTTGTAAAATGCAAAAAGAAGTA